ATGTTTTAAATCTTGGAAATTTTGTTCAATACCTTTTCATTGGTCTGACTGGTCTTTGCTGTTGTTTATACTTTTATGTATGACAAAAATCCATGTCTAGAAGCATGTAAGTATTTTTGACAGTTTCTTCTGGATATTATTTGCCTGTATATCTCAAAATACATTTGTAAAATATTTTGTGATACTTTAAATGATATACCATACAAGTATTACTTCTCTTCATGCAATTCAAATACTCATTAGGAATCAGCTCTTCTCTATCTTTTGTTCATGTGACATACTATATTGTAAATAATTTGGCGATTTTGGGGATAATGGGTTTGAGGAGAGGGTTGTATTTTTTTATTGCTGTTTGCTTGCTTTATTGAGTTTTTCTTTTTCAGAGGTAAAAATTGAATGTGTGTGTGTGTGTGTGTGTGTGTGTGTCTCGGTGTTGATGGATATGCCTGTCTTGTGAGCACAAATTCATACAGGTGCATACGAAGGCCAGGGGTTAACATCTGGTCTTTCCTTGATCACTTTTGAGACAGGTTCTTTCACTAAACCTGAAGTTCATGATTTGTTTAGGCTGGTGGTCCGTGAACTTCAGGGATCTGCCTGACTCCACCTCTCCAGCTCCCAGGTTTGGGGTTAGAGACACAAGCTGCTATGCTTAGGTAGATCACTCAGGTCTAGGAACACCGATTCTCATGCTTAAACATCAGACACTTTGCCAAGCCATCTATAAAATCCCTTGAACATTTTCTGTTTCACAGCATGATTATTTATAAAAAACTGTTATATTTGTGTTTTTGTTTATTTGATTCAAAATTTGAGGGGTGCTATGCGTGTGCCATGGCACATGTGTGGAGGTCAGAGGAAGAAGTCTTTGAGGTAGGATCTTAAGGGAGTTTGGGCTTTCAAGGACAAGGCTTGAAAATTGAATGAATGTTCCAAGACTAGTGTTTATAGTTAAAAGAAAGTGTGCTCCAAAAGCTGTTAAAATGCTAGTGTTACCAGGGAGACAGTGTCATAACACAATGTTGGAGAGCAGATGAGAACCACATAACAGACTTATTCACTCAGTGAAGGGTTCACATCTCACTCCCAAGATTCAAGATTCATGAGACACTCTTAAAGAATTTAAAAAGCAAGAGTGACCCAACCAATCACCTTTCTTGTTGTATTTGGCTTAGAGTTTCTTCCTGTTATTACTAAAGATAAATAATACTACAGATAAATAAAATATTTCAAATATCCTATGCAACAAATTGTTATATAATGTACTAAAAGTAGATGTAACAATAACAATGCTGTCATATTTTGGAACAAGAAAAGTATACTCTAAAAAGGAAAAGTAAGACATGAGCAGATCAAAATTGAAAATGTTTCTCTTATTTTTAAGCAGCCAAAATATAAACCCAGGAATCAAACCAGTGCACCAACACTTACATCCTGGCAACCTGTAGTGGCATCAAATTCTGGTTCTTTGAGTGTTGCTTAAGAACTTCTTCCTAGTAGAGGAACTATTGGCACTTGATAGTTACTGAGAGAGAGAGTTAGCTTCCTTTTAGATGCTAGCCCCTGGTAAGTTGACTTCATGCCAGTGGAAGCCCACGTATTCAAGAATATATGGGAAGCACAAATTGAACTTAATGGGTTAAAAAAAATGGACACAAAAGTTGGGTGGGTGGTGAAGGCTCTGAGAGGAGTTGGGGGAGGGATGAATATGATCAAAACATGTATGAAATTCCTAAAGAGAATATTAAATAAGAATTTTAAAAGAATAACAGAGGACATGAATAAATATTGATTATAAAATGTTAATAAAATATCTTCATAAAAAGGTTTTTAAAAATTCCAGCAGCTTAGGAGATGGTGCAGTGTATAAAATAATGCTTCCTGCACAAGCCTCAGGACCTGAGTTTGGATCTCATGCACTGAAATAAAACCACATTTATAAGGAAAACCAGCACAAGCCCAGAGCAGAGTGGCAAAACAGGAGAGCCTTGAAGCTTGCCGGTCAGTCAGTTCAGCAAAAATGCTGAGCTCCAGGTCAGTGAGAGATCCTGTCTGAAAAAATAAGTTTACATAGACCACATACACAAACAAATGGAAAGTATGAATTCAGGAGTGGCTTTTCTTTTTAATGGAGCCAGAGGGATAGCTCACTTGGTAAAGGTGCTTGCTCCTAACCTTGATGACCTGAGTTCAATACTAGGACCCATTGTCCTCCACATAGGTACCATGGCACTGCCATGCTCATACACACAAGATAAATATAGTTTTAAAATAAAGAGATAGGATATATAGAAACAACTAACATCATATCTCTTGTTCTAAACACCTTACTAGTATTATCCATGGAAATCATTATAGTGTCTCAAAAAAAGTACTATTGATATCATTATGAAGCTAGTAGGTTGTAGAACTACCTAACTGAAAGCTACATTTATCTATGGTGCTTACTTTCTCTGTTGAGGAATTCCATAAGGTAACAGTGAGTGGGATAGAATAAACAGAATGCTTACATCAAGGGAAAACGTTAAGGGCTTTTCCCTTTGGGGATAGGAAGAATGCCCTACAAGAATTCTTGAAGTGAAAATCAAGAAATGACATTAAATGGAATCTTTTCTGACTATCTAATCAGTTCAGTGTTCTGTGATTTCTATTCTGTACCTATCTACTATATCAATACTTTATACATAAGATGTGTAACAATTTATAGAAACTCAGAATGGCACCGAACACCATAAAAGTTTTTTTTCTGCTTCCTCAAAGTACACCTATTTTCATTCAAGACAGTGGTAAAATAACAAATTGGATGCAAAGATAAAAAGGGAGATAGAAATTCAGAATAAGTAGATTGTTAACTACTTTCCCCAAAAGAGTATGTACATGTGAGCTTTACCATGTGAATGACTAGTACAACTAAGAGTAAGGAACCTTCTCACCTATTCAGAAGTGATGACATGAGTAGATAAAACAAGGCAAAAGTGTGGTAGAAGATCTAAACCAGGAGGCAAACATTTAAGGAAAGAGAACTAAAGTCTAGAATGCACTGAATGGTGTGTGAGAAGGTGGGAACTGTTAGAGGTGTGGGTCCTGGTGGGATAGCTAAGGATTCTCTAGTTTCTCATACAACAGTTTATTCGTAGCTTATAGGGCAGTGAAGTAATAAAATGGTTCTAAAAATGTTACTTCTAAAAACATATGTAATGAAGAAAGGTTTTAAGGCTGGGCATAGAACAGTGGTAGTATGATGGGGGGAAGAGGAATAATGGGGCAGGAAGAATCAAATGGGGTGGGAGATGGAAGAGAAGAGAGTATAACTTATTCAGCTATGAACTCATAGGGCTGTGGTAACAACTTTCCTGGCAAAATATGTCCACTGATGTGATAGTGACACAGATGTTATGAGATTAACCAACAACATTCTGGCTGGATTTAAAGCCACCACAACAAAATGTAATGTATGCCAAGTATTGTTAACTGGTCCAAATCCCATAACTGGCTAGTTCATGGGCCCAAGGGGACAACCCAGTACTAATATTCTAATCCTAATATAGCTATAAAATATCCTCTATGTTCTAATCTTTATGCCCATAGATTAGTACATCTCTCAACCCTCATCAGAGATGCTGCTTTTTGGAGAAGATGGTGGTTAATATGGAGATAAACAGCTGATCATCCTGCAAACAATAAGAGGCTGTGGGGTACTTAGCTCTAAATGAGACATCTGTATCATACCTCCTCACCCTCAGGCTCAGGAATCATTTCAGAAGAGAGGGTGAAAAATTGTAAAAGTCAGGGGTAGTGAACTTCTGTAGTAAAGCTGTATTTGACAGACATTAGAGGGTCATTGAACACATAAAGCTGTGACTGCATGCATAATAATAACATCAAGCTAGCCAAATTACTAACATGAATGAGAAGGAGGGTCATGGAATCTCACTCTTGGTTCAAGAGTTATTAGCAATTGATGGAGGCTGAGGAGGATATCAGATTTTATAAGACCCCTGAGAGGCTAACCATGATCCAGTAGATGGTCCTATATATACCCATGCACGAACACACAGCACTTAGGGGACTTGTTTCCTCAAAACAGCACATGGAGTAGGGAGGGAAAGGTGATGGGGGTTAAAGGGGTAGGGGAAGGAATTAAGAAATGGGGGTGAATTTGACCAAAGTATCATATGCATGGATGCATCTATAAAATTCTCAAACAGTAATGGAAAAAGACTTCAGGAAATATTTGGGATTACAGTTATATGACATAGTAAATAGAATTAAAGCTGCAGTCTCAAAGTGTAGCTGAAGGAATCTAAGATACATTGCAAAGGTAGAAGGATAGAATATAGTGTCTAATCATGGGTTTAATGTTCTATCCAGGGTGAATGAGGCTTAATTTACCACTTTGAATAACATACAGATACTGATTTTTTATGCCTCGGATTTTTATATTATGCTAAAGTTGTAACCCAAGAGATGTGATAGTCAAGCATAGTATTATTTAAATTGAAAACTATGTCATGATGCTTTGTTAAATTATAATGCAAATCTGCAAGGCATAAATGATAGTCAGACCCCAGTTGGCTGTTACTGGTTGGTAGTTGTCATTGAATAGCTGCTGAAGTATTGCTCCTGTTAGAACACGTTGCAATAAACTGTGCAATGTAATGTCATGCCAATAAAAGGAAAATGTGTTTTGAGCACAGTGGAAGCTTTTGAGGACCTATTTCTTGTTAAATGAGATTTTTAATAGTATAAATTTGAAATGTTTCTTACATAGTATTGTGTTCAGAATATTATCTTCCACTGCTGTTTTCCAAGAATCCTCCAAAGCAGATCCTGAATATAATGTCACTTACAAATGTCACAAAAGTATTGCTTCATTTTCATCACATCTGGATTTTATGCTCTATATATGGAAGACATTTTAAAATAGTCCATGTTGAAATGTAAAACCATCTTTACTTTAAATTGGGAAAACTAAAAAGAGATTCACTTTTGTTTTGCAGTGATCAGCATGTTGGTAAAATTTATTCCAAATGTTCTTCCTTTCTGGATTATGTCAGAAGGTCTCTAAAGAAGCTTGGATTAGATGAGGCCAAGGTCAGTGTATGGTTACCTTTTATTTTCATAAAAACAAGAATTCTTGGTAGGGTAGTGGATTGAGGCAATACAAAATCATTTGCTTTCTGCCTTTCTCCCTCCTATAAAAACTCTAAATTATATTGAAATTAAGCTTCTGTTACCGTTTTTTGCAATTCACCTTTCCTGTCAAATCTATAGAAAGTTAATGATTGTGTATCACCAAAGCAACTCTTTCTCTGGGATTTTTACTTAAAAGAATGTTTAATTTCACTAAGTAAAATAAGGTTAAAAAGCAGAACACTATGAATGGAAATTATAGTTGAATAAGGAAGAAATGATTAATTTTTACATCATTTATTTGCAATTTTATGGCTAATTATAACTTTCAATATTAAATTTGGAATGCCTCTAACTGTGAACATTCTGGTAAGTTGGAACATCACAGTAGCTGTTAGCTAACATTGTTGATAACATCATTGAAAGTAAATAGTAGGCTAATTGACTCATAAAAACTCAATATAATTCAAGTTATACATTAACTAAAATATTAAACTGAACTACTGAATATGCCATGTTACAATGGCATATTAAATTGATTGTAAATTTAAAAATAATAATATATCTTTTAGTCTCTTTTCTGTGGTAAAATGCCCTAACAAAAGCTTTAGGAAAAAAAGATTAATTTCAGCTCACACCTCCAGGTTACATCTTTCAGTAATAGTGAGATCATGGTGGTAGGAGCTTGAGGAAGTTGGTCATATTATGTCTGTAATCAAAGGCAGAGAGCAACAAATATATCAGTTCACTTCTCCACTGTTCTATGGTTCAGCATCTCCTGCCTACCAAATAGTGCTATCCACAGTCAATGCATCTTTGCACCTGGTTTTTTTCAGTATAATCAATGACTTGCCCGGGACCACTGTGATGTAGATAGTCCTACACCAGAACTCTTCCCACATGATTCCAGATTATGTCCACTGATAATTAAAACTCACTATCACAGTATGAAATTATTCTTTTGAAAGAGAAAACTTACACAGACATTATATTGCATCCAAATTGAAGTGTATGATTGTCTACTGTACTGTTGTTATTTTGGTCTTATTTATTTCTTAAAGAACTAGACTAGTAGTAGTTTTGTTGCTTTATTCCCTATCAAATAGCTAGCTGTGAAAGCTGCACAATTTAGGAACAAATGAGAAGATACATGTCAAACTCATCCTATATTTATATGTAATTGCTGACTGCATGACACTACTTACTGCTTATCTCAGTTGGTATATTATTAGTAATGACATAGTTGATAGAATTCTTATAAATATTTTTACTTAAAAAATGAAGTCAGTTTTGTGTGGATGATTGAATTTGTTCACTGTGCCTTACTTAAACTGAAAATGTCCTATCCTTTCCAAAAATGAAACATAAAACATCCAGAAGGATTAATTTATCCTCTTTTCTTTGTCTTTGCAAGTTTATTATTATTAATAGTAACCACAATAAAAGTTATTTCCTACATCTGTTAATATTTAATTATTAGGATATTAATTATGGTTGACACTAAATAAACACGGTACGATAGATGCTATGCTAAGGATATCACATTGCCTTGTTTACTCTTCACAAAGCAGTTACAGTAGACAGCTGAAATCATAACTGGAGGGAAACAGGGGACTACATAGAGGAGCAAGCTCCAGAGTAGAAGTTTGGTAGTAAACAAGAACCACAGTAAGAAAACCTGGCAACCTACTAGAGGCTCAGTGTGGATAGTTGTGAGAATGAAACACTAGAGCTGTGCAAACAATTTTAAGGGGTTGTCACACTTTTGTGAATTTGCTTCTGAATGTAACCTAGTTCTGATGAATACTGGACAAAAAGCCCCTCATTCTTGTGACAAGGGAAGTGAAAGAATAACCATTTAAATAAGTCAGTATATTCTATTCATACCAAAACCTACTTTTAAAGACACCATATTTAATTAGAACCTGAATGCTAGAATTTTATCTACACTTAACTGAAGAGGGGAAAGGAAGTATTCAGCATTTGTCAATTCTGTCAATTCTGTCCCCCCAAGAGGGCATGAAAATACTAGGAAGTGCTGGTGAAGTTCATGGTCAAGAAACAGGTTCAATGGCAGACTAAGACCCAAGCATAAGAATAGAAAATCCTTCTTACCACCACACTACTAATGACACATTCATAACTACTTTTTACATAGTATATCACGTTTGAGTACCAAAAATTTATAAGCATATTGAAGATAATAAACAGTTTGAAGAGATGGAACTCGTCACAACCACATTGAGATATGACAAGGACAGTGGACATGTTAATCTGCAGTTGCAAATAGAGCAATATGCCAAATATTTGATTTAATAAACTGGATAGCACCCAAGACCAGATGGACAATGTAAGCAGAGATTTTGGACAGTCTAAGATAAAACTTTAAAAAGATTTTAGAAGTAGTTCAAAATACCCAGGCAGGAAGATTACAAAAACCAGAGGTGGTGGATGCCTCCAAAGAAACAGTGTCTTAGAGACACAACAGGACTGATGCACATATAAACTCACATGGACTGTGACAGCACCTACAAGACCTGCCCAGGTTCAACCTAGAAAACTCCCCACACTGAGAAGGAGAAGTGGGCACCTCTAACCATGAAGGTATTTGCAATTGATACTGCTGGGAAAGGAAAAACCTCTATAGTGGGGTGTCAGCCACCCCTGCATCAGGCAGCGTGCTTAGGAGTAGCTGGCCAACACAAAACAGACTCCATGTTGTGTGTGTGTCTCTGTGTGGTCAGGGGGTTGGTAGATATTTTGTCTCATGTTTTAAAAAATAATGAGCAATTAAGATAATAAAACTAAGCAAAGTAGGGTATATAGACAATGTAGAGGAAATCATTTTCCTTGATAACAACAATGAACAAGTTGAATTTGAAATTAAGATGCATCAGCATTTACATGAGTGCCCTCCCCCAAAGTGAAATTATATAGATTTCCTAATAGAATCCAAACAAAATGCCTTTAAGATAAGCATAAACTGAGAAATAAAAAAGTAGAGAGATAGTCTATGTTCATGGATAGGAAGATTCACTATTCTCAAGAAGTCAGTACTTCCCAACTTGGATCTATGTTTCAGTACAGTCTGAGTTAGTATTTCAGGAAGTTATTTTTTGGATGTTGACAAGCTGTTCACACACACACACACACACACACACACACACACACACACACAGAGGCAAAAGAAGCAAATGAGCTAACAATAGTATATGAAATCAAAGCTTAAGGATTGTTACTAGGTAACTAAGGTTTATTATAAAGAGGAGATATTTGCAGACTAATAGACAAATGGATCAAAGAACAGAATTGAGAGCCTGGAAATAGACCCACACAGATGCAACCAGGTGGCCTTTGGTGAAGTGTCAAAAACAGTACAGCAGAGCAAAGAATCTCTTTTTTTTCACCATGAAGTGTTCAAACAATAGGACACACACAAGTAGAAAAGTGAATCTAGAAACAAACTTTACATCTTTCCCAAACTCAAAGTGAATTACATATATTAATGTAAAATCCTAGACTATGATAATACTAGAAGATAGCAGGAGAATTTGTATGTTGATATAATGACTTTTCAGGTAGAGCAGCAAAAGCCAAAATTCATGAACCTTACCTAGACCCCATAAAAGGTGACTACTTATAATGGAGCCTAACGTAAAGGACAGCCCTGGACAACAATGCTGTATAGATGTAGATTCATCACTTACAGCAAATACATTGTCCTTGTGGTGATGCTGGTAATGAGAGAGGCTGCTTGTGTGCAGCCTGGTACATTACAGGTATTTTCCACTTTCCTAAAAGAAATAGTTTAAGAAAATATTCATAGTATATGCTTCCATTATGCACAACCAGTTTAGAAAGAGTCTCAGGAAAAGACAAATATCACTGAATAAAAAGACTATCTTAAATGATTTCTTACTTTTTATTAGTTAATAAGGATGCTAATAATGGCCCATTGATTCTCTTTTACAACCACTGATCCATTTTGTTTTGTTTGTTCTGTTTTTTTTTTCCCTGTAAAGCAATTTGAGGGAAAACAAAAGTATATGCTGAAATACATTGGGGAAAAAGGACCAGCAAACATTTTAGTGTATAAAATAATGGTGTACTAGGGAAAAGAAGCAAATTGATAAGAATGGCTTGGCATGGGGGTGTCTTGATTGTAAGCAAGAGATTTAAAAAATAATGTCTTTTAGGCCAGAGTGTTTGGAAACAGGGAAAATGATAAAACAAACCATTTACATTTCTGGCATTATACAAATGCCTCATTTTATCTCCACGCCATGGAATAGGAGTATTAAAATGAAAGTTTTCACCACAACACAATAGGTATTTGTGTATAACTTTATTTCAAAAAGAAGTTTTCACATGAAATTCCTAATGCTTTGTAAAATTTAATTTTTAAATATACCAAAAGACTCACAAGAGCTTTGATTAAATTCTTAATTGTTTATTAATGATATTTCTGTGGAACTGAATTGGCAGTGAGATGTGCACTTAACAGTTTAGGCAAGTGAACTGCCTAGAAAATCTCCTAAACTCTGCTTAAGTTCTAGTAACACGAAATTACATTAAACATGAAAGAAAATCAAAGATTCCCAGACACCTCTTTTCAGAGGCAACCAAGGCTGCATATGCTGGATTCACAGTGTCTCTCACACAGTGTGAAGGGTTTCTCCCTAAGTCTATTGTCAGTTGTGAAAATCAACAGTGGACTTTGCTCTTTTTCAAACTCAGCACCATTGGCATTTGGATCTTAATTTGTAGTGAGAGGCTGGTCTATGCATTCTGCAGCATCTCTGGAGTCTGTCCACTAGATGTCAGCAGTAGCACAATGATTACTACTCTGGCACTTGCCAAGATTGACACCTGTTAAGAATCACTGATTTTGAGAAATTTTTTTTCCTTTATGATTTCACTTGCCGCCTAACAGTCCCATTATGTGTCTACGTTTTAAAATGCCATTT